TGAATTATCTAAAGCATTCCCTTTCACACTTTTTTAAGTCTATTCCTCATGAGTAAAATGATGATAAACATCCATCTTGGGTATATGCAAAAGTTCTTCTTTCTCATCTTGGCCTTGGCTCACCCACTGTTGGAATCTCAATCATGCTACAAGTGCAGGTGAAAGGTTAGAATCATCAGAACTGGCATGATTTCTTTGGAGCTTTGGTGCTCACTTTCCTAGTCCAGTTGTTGTAAGTCAACACTATATACCTTCCCAGCACGCTGAGCATGAACAATGAAGAGCAAGTCCCAGACGGCTCAAGCTGCCTTCACAGCACAAGCTCAGGTCGCGCCTTCATTCCCTCCTGAAAGGTCCGTGTCTTGAGATCTAAATTGCTCTGACTTAAGCAGTAGTTCCCATTTTCAGTCTTCATTCAAGTCCTTGTTTTCCTCGGGTTATCAATCTTTTAAACTCACCTCAAAATCTTGAGTTCATGTTACCATGTGGCTTTGTTGTTGTTGTTATCCTTTTCAAAGTCCTGGAAACACATGAATGAAATATCTCAAAGCAACAGAAGTAACAACAAAACTCTAAAAAACCAAGCTCATAATTTCAGCAGAGAACTTTCTGCTTATTTCTGCCATGATCTTGAGCTATCTTCGCCCATTCCATTCACTAACCCCATAGAGGAAGCCACCCTGAAAAGGAACCTCAGAACAATGATGTCTCCCTCTACAAGAAGGCCAGTTCTTTAAGAAGTGTCATTGTTGGCAAGGGCCCATTCATATAAAAAGGAATTTAGACAGTGAGTCCCCTTCTTGAACAGAAATTCATCAAAGCACAAACTTTAAATATAGCTGCCAATCAATTACCAGTCATTCTGGTATTGTCTATATTAGCTAAGACAGAAATAATAAAGACAATTTCAACAGTTAAAGAACTTCACTATTTTTATTCCTCTTCTGTAAAACTCTTGCAATGTTTCTAAAGTTGTCTCAAATTTTGAATTTGTGATTTGGAAAGTACACAAAGTAGAACTTAAACTCCAGTCCTTCTAATATTGGGATCTCTATGTTTTCATTATATTATCCCACTTTTGATGAGAAAAGAGAATCTGCCTCAAAGAAAGGGGGAAATTCTCAACAATAAAAGGAAATATACTATCATTCCATTAAAAGACATAGAGCAGGGGCCTGGGAAGATAGCTCAGAGGATAAAGCATCTGTCAAGCAAGCCCAACTCTCTGAGTTTGATCTCCAGCACCCAGGAAACAGAAGGGCTTAAAAAAAAAAAAAGGCTTAGTAGCACACATATATAATATCAGTACTGGGGAGGAAGTGACAAGTGGATCCATAGGGCTCACTGGCCAGCCAGCCTAGCTGAACAACCCAGCTCCAGGTAAAATTAAAAGACCCTGTCTCAAAAGCCAAGGCAGAAAATGGCTAAAGAAGAGACCAAAAGTTGGCCTCTGGTCTCCAAATGCACACACACACAAGTGTACATGCACACCTGCACAAACATGTGAACACACACAACTAAAATGGCATAGAGGATGCTTAATTGATACTACATGAAAGAAGTCTGTCAGAAAGTACATGAGTGGCCATCAGGATAGCAAAGTGGGTAAAGCACTTGTCTCACAAGTCTGACAACCTGAGTTCAATCCCTGGAGCCCGTGTGAAGACGGAAGGAGAGAACAGACTCCACAAAACTGTCCTCTAATCTGCATTTATCTACTGTGGCACAAAGGTGCCCACCACATAATAATACTAAATACATTTTAAAAGAAAGTGATGCATGATAATGTGCTTTCAACTCTATGACATTTTGTAATAAAGCTTAACTATTGAGCTTAATTATTAAGAAAGATCAATTGGTACCGTGGCTGGGAAGGAAAAATACTAAGGGGGGCACAGGAGGTTTTTTAAGGCAATGGGGTTATTTTTGATACTCTACTGGTAAATAAATGTCTTGTTTGTAAAAAACAGAACCACAAGACCAAGAGTGGACCCTAGAGTAAACTGTTAACATCAGGTGATGATGATAGAACAATGTAGGTTCAATCGTAACTAATGTAGAGCCTGATGGGGGATGGTGACAGTGGGAGAGACTGTGCATTTAGGACAGGGGAAGGTGAGGAGTCCTATATCTTTTGCTAAGTTTTTCTGTGGACAAATTTCACACAAAAGAATAAGATCCTTTTAAAAAGGGAAAAAGACCTATAATTGCATAGACCTCGTAGACTTTATGTTATCTCACACACTCTGATGAAATTTCTGTCTATAGTACCCTAGGATATTAACAAGAGAACCAAAAGTAGACAGTAAGCCAATAGAATAAGATTCTAGAAAAAGTGAAGTCCCTGTCCTTGTTTAGTCTCTATCTCCCTGTCTTTCTCTTTCCTATTATCTCTGTCATCCTTTTATCATTTGGCTTTCTACCCTACCGTAAAACCTCAACATGTAGAAATGATAAAGAAAGGGAAAAGTATAGCTTTTCACAGCATTCTCTCTATTTACTTTCCCATTACATTTTTGCCAAAGCTTAGTGTCATGAAGCAATCATTTGTTATGCTTAAGATTCTGTAAGCTCATAACTCAGGCATGTCAGGGGAGGGAGGGGCTTTCTCTGTTCTGTGAGCTGGGAACACTCCAAGACTCAGGGTCTGGAATCAGTGGCATTTCTGTCACATGTCTGAAAGTGGATACCAGTTATGGGCCTGGTCCTCTGCTAGGCTAATGGTTGAAACTCAGGGATACTCACTGATTTCTCTATATGGTCTATCTTGGGCATCCTCATAACAGGGTGACTATGATCAAGAGAGAACGTCCCAAAAGAGCAGAAGGAAGTAAATGACTTTTTTATGAGTGTCCCTAGAAGCAGGATAGCATCATCACTGCAACTCTCGGAACTGCTATAAAGCGTCTATCCAAGTTCAAGAGGAAAGAACAGAGATTCAAACCTCTTTAGAGTCAAAGACGTTACTTTGTAAGACTATGCAGAATAAACAATATTCTTGTACCCATTTTCGAAAATAACATCTGTCATGGTGATTATTGTTGTACCTTTGGTGTCTTAAATATCTTGGTTTATATTGCCATTGAGTATAGGTTGGACTTTGTTCCACATCTCTACCCGTGACTGTTTCAAATTATAAACTACATGATAGGATGACAGGGATAGTCATGTTGAGTTAATTTACACGAGACTAATCGTAATACTTTGTCCTCGATCACCAGAATACATAGTATTATTAGTGTTGCAGCTGTGGACAGATACATGTACTTGAATGATCGTTATTTTATGTTGCAATATTTGTAACGGGTTCCAGAAACTATCTACATTAACCAAAAAGGCATGTGCCGTCTTTAAAGTGCAAGAGAAATGTATTAGTCTAGTTAGGTCTTTGCTGCTTGAGAAAAGTACATAATTTCATCTTCCAAGAGAATAGAATATTGTAAAGTGATAACTGATTCTCACAGTTGAAGAAGAAAGGTCACTGTGCAAGAAACTCTTTTTCTTCACTTTCATCATTAGTTATAGTTTAGACAATGTAACATTAAAAGTTCATATTAGCAGTTTGCGAAGACCTTGTTAATGAATTTCTGTTTATCTTTTCTGAAAAGTTAACTAATGAATGCAATTGTCCTGTTTCAGTTGATTTCATAGGTGGCTTTGACTCTTACGGCTATCAAGGGCCTCAGAAGACATCTCACTTACAACTACAACCAATGTACATGTAAGTACTTGACTTTGAGGTATTTTTTTTTTCTGGGATACTAAAAAGTAGTCAGCAAATGACAACTCAAAATGCATGCACACAGCTTTCCCTTGGTTAGATAGTTTTATATTTTTATAGTATTAATGTTGTTTTGACTAGAATAATTCTAAAACATTTCTTTATGATTTTTTTTAATTTGACGTATCAAAAAAGCCATCCCTGGAGTTGTCTTCAGTACGTAAGCATCATCTACATGGCTCAAAAGCCTCCAGTATATAACTTTTCTTTAAATTACCTAGACTTGTATCCTTTGAAAGTGTTATAACAGTATTTACCTATATATAAAGCTTACTGTCTGGCTTCCCTAGGGTAGTCCCAGTTTATGCTAGTATCATAATTATCAGCCCATCATATTAATCTTGAAAGTTCTCACGTAGATTATAAATGCTAGCTCACTCTAGTTATGGGTGTGTGTTCAAAAAATCAAACTCTGAGCCATGCTTTATCTCTTGTGAAAGTGAAAATGAAACTGGAACATTAGCACTGAAACTGATCAAACCCTTAACGCTAGCACTCAAAATAGCAGACATACAATCAGAGCCTGATTTTTATATCTGTGTTTAGGCAAATTCCCTTGGATAACAACTGATAGCAAATTCTATATATCAGCATCAAGTGATATGCTGAATTGCAAGCGAAGATGAAAATAGAAAGTAAGCTTCCAATTCATTTCAAAATGTGACCTTCTCTCTTTGAAGATATGTGTTTGTTGTCATTGTCCACCATGAAATCATTTACTTTCTAGTACTCCAGCATGGAGGATGATAAATGGAGTTTGGGGATGTCTTTCCTCTGAGCATGTTAATCTTTAGACACTTCTAAGTTTCTATTTAAAAAACAGAATGATCTATACATTGTGTCTGCCTTTTTCTATGTGGCCCTTGTAGTTTCCAGCAATGTTTGAATAAAATCCTTCATAGAAAAGACTTCATCTGTTCAGAAATCAACCAATACAAGATATCATTCCCAGCATTGCCTATGTGAACAGATCACACATCTTTCCTTCACATCCACAACCACTGCCCTAGTTCAAGAATAAGAATCCACGATCAACTGTTAAGTTTTCCAGTTTCTTTATTTCAGAACCTTTGTCCCATTCTCTACATGGCTGCTAAATAAATCTTCCTAAAGTCTTCTCTGATGCTTTCTCTTTCCTTCCCAAAACCCATCAGTGATTCCCTGAGTTCTTCACCATGGCTTTACAAGAGTGCTCTGATCTGTGAGCAATGTTCTTTTGAAATGTTCTTCCTTTAGCCCTTCACTTCAATGTCCCAGCTACACGCAGATGATGTTAGATTTTAATAGGAATATGCAGTACTGGAATAAGAACTACCTCTGTTCCTGAATCCTTTCATTTATCAGGAGTATAAATATTCTGATAGCTTTCCTTAGCCACTAGTCAAATTAGAACAAACTTTGTGCCCTGAAAATACGGCATATATTTTTCCAATTTCCCATTCTTTTTTTTTTTGAACAAGTATATTGCTTCTAGTCAGGTATTTATAATGCTCCTGTTGTTCTTTAAACAGGAATTCTAATATCTTTGTCAAGAATTAAATTCCCTAAGAACAAAACTCTACATGATTATTTTAATCAAAAACTTTAAATGCCAAATAAACATAACAAAATCTTGCTTTCCCTCTCAATGCCTAAGAATGAGCAATTCTATGATAGCTTCAAGTTGCATTGCTCATGAAATGGTATATGTTTATGGGACTCAAATCTAGACAATTAGAAAGATTTAAGGTACACGAATCATAAGTCAACAAAATTCTGCTATCATCCCTTCCACAGAACGTCCTATGGAAAACCTCAAATCCTAGAACACTGAGATTTTACATTATAGAGGAAGAAACTAAATCAAGAGACAGGAAAACCAAACTCATGCAACTTGTTAGTGGTGCAGCTGAGCGCATCAACAGTTTTCCTTGGTTTGGAAATTCTTAAATGAACTCTGAATTCAGTCTGGCATTACATTCCTGACTTTACTTTACGCATTTGTACACCTAATTTGATATTTCCATACACACACACACACACACACACACACACACACACCTTTTCTCCATTCCCCTTATCTCCTTTAGATTATACACTATGCAGTGTTGAAAAGCCTTCTCCACTATGTAACCCTCAAAATCCATTCTCTGAGAGCCACTGCCTAGTCAGAACCTGTGGAAAATCAAAACTGATTCACCTATAAACCTCATCCCCTCCTGAGAAGCAGAGCCCCGAGTACCTCTTTTGTCTTTGTCATTTGCAGTGTTCCTTCTCCTGTCAACTTGCCATAAATATGTCTTGTAAAGTAAGAGTAATTTAACATCATGGGCTGGTTCAGGCACCCTAACACTATTATATAGCAACTGGAAATAAAAGCTGTTCTTTTGAAAGAAAGCAAATGCTAAAAAGCAATGTGCAATTTTAGCTGTGGGGTTCCTATTCCACCCAGCAAACCTTCTGTGGCCTGGCTCCTGCACAAAGCTGTGAAATCGCTGCCAGTACTGACTGACTTGCAGTTACAACCTAGGACTGTGCTGTCCTCTTGCTGGTTCCGTGGGTGTGCATTCTTAGTTTTCTAACTCTTCAGATTCTGTATGACATGTATAAAAGGAAAGTTTTTCTATTCTTTCTCTCTTTTTTTGCTATAATTTGTCAAATATCTACGAAATAAATTGATATCTATCAAGTTACAACACAAAGAATTTCCATAGCCTCAGATTAACTTTCTAACAGAGTAATTATTTTTGATTACCACTGGCCTGTGAGCCACAGCAAGTATAGCTGTGAGGGGCCACTGCCTAATAAGAATTTCCCATGGCATATTAGACAACATGCAAAAACTCCACATTATTTTGGCAGCCTAAAGGCAGAGCATGTCCATTTCATTCATCCCCTGAATGATCATGAGGGCCCTCTACCTGTGATGATGCCCAGAGGAATAAGAAGAAGAAAACTGTCTATTTAAACCCAATCTGAGCTTCTTGGTCCTTTTATTCCCCTCTTTTCTTTCTTGTTTATTCTTGTGTTTGAAGAAGTTAGAAAAGGTAGCAAGCAGTTGGCACCCAGGGCTCTCCTCCCTTGATTAAAAACATCTTTTCTCTCTTTTAGGTCAAAATAATACAAATGACTTCTGTATGTCAGCCCATGGACCTCTCAAAGAACTTCTGTCGCAGTGGCCTTCTGCAGTTTATGAAGACCAAGAAGCAAATTAATTTAAATAGATACACAAGTTATCAGAACAAACAAGAAACATCTACACACATACATACGTGTACACACACACACACACACACACACACCACCACCACCAACAACAACAACAACAACAATAGCAACACTGTCACAGCAATTCCTCTGGATATTTCTAACTGAAACTGATAAATATGCAGGACACCTCCATCCTGGATTCCTGAAAGCAGGCTCCCTTCTCCCAGGCCTTTGAAGTTAGGAAAGAAGACGTGTTGGTGCCCTCTGCTGGCCATTACTTACTCCTCTGCAGCCCAATCCATTGGCCTCTGTGAGCTGCACAGTCGTCCCAGGCACAATAACTGAGAGTCCTGTTTTCTGCACTCCATACATCTTGATAGCACCACAGCTACTTAGGCAACGTAATTGCAAAACCAAACAGGACATGCCGTGATGACCTTGTACCAAGTGCGAAATGGCAGGTCGTTTGCCCTAAAGGGTGTACCATACAAACTTGCCTTAACCCACCTGCGTTGTGTACTGGAGAACCTCAGTGCAGACGTCCCCAGTCACTTCCTTTAGGCTCACACACTGCTATTAATTCTGAATGATTTCAACTCTGTCTCACATCAAGGAACAAGACTGAACAGCTCAGCAGCTCCAGTCTGTCTATGTAAGAAAACCGCCAGCTGTCAGCAAAGTGCTTTACCACTGAGCCTCTGCAGTGGCCAAAAGAGACAAGTACCAACAACAACAATAACTGTCATCTTTATATCTCTTAAACGTGGTCTTCTGATGGGTTGGGGTAGAACGAGGTAAAATTTAGTAATCTACTAAACTCATTAATCTACTGAAAGCAGAAATGGCTTAACTCACTGATTTTATTTCCTGCACTCTAGGTGCTTTTAAAAGTATCTACAAATGTCTTTTACTGACACAGGAAACAGCTGTGGATTTCTATGACAGAGGCCAACTGACTATGTATTAGCTATGTTTACTCTTTTATATCTAATTCAAATCCAAGACCCAATGTAGGTGAACTTTGTTTTCTAACTTCGGCGTACGAGATTATTTTTGGGGTGGGTGGGGGGAGCAATAGTTAACTTGGTGAAATATTTGAGATCTCTTTGTGGTATTTGGGGGATCTGTTGTGTGTTAGAGTGTATTTCAATCCTCCTGTATTATTGTGGCAGAAAAAAACTGTGCTGTTAATGTAGTTGGCAACGAGATGCCTTTGGAAACTTAATAGTAGGTCAATGTGTTTATGGAATATTCTGAACTCCTAGGAAATTTTGTTCAATATTTTCAAGCACTATTTGGTTTTCATTAGTGGAGAACATAATTAGCTCAAGCTTATCAGTAACTCAAATGAGTCATGTTTTTCTTGAATCCACTTGAGACACCAAAATCAAGTTTTCTTGAACACATCATTTTTAAGTACAGTGAAATTCAGTCTAAGAAAGTTATACATTGGCATGGAGCAACTTTTTTTTAATCTACGAAGTCTCAGTTATTGAATCAACCTTTTTTTGGATCTTAACCCATTCAAATCTACATAAGGTGATCCTGTTACTGTATTTGCATCGATGTTTATAATCCACACACACACACAACCATTTAAAATTGATGAAAGAACGAAAAGTGACCATTGGAACATTCACCACATGCACAACAAGATTTCAAGGCTCAGGCTTGAATTTTCTCTGTGGCTTGTATACCTTTGTCCATGCCTACATGTATAAAAAGGACAGTCACAAACATGCCAGTGAAACCTCATCTGGTGTTTTTATATGACATGCATGTTTTAATGTCTGAGGAAACTATTCATCAATGCACTGCTCTTTGATTCCTAAAATATGAATCCTATACATGCCAGAACCTGTTCTACTGTGACTCCTGAAATGAGGTTCCACTGTGCATTCATACTGTGATGAGATTCCACTGTAGTACATGTGTATGGAGAGAAAAATAAGCCTTCATATTTCTCTTTTAAGTTGCAGCCGACTCTCCACCAAATCACTGCTATCATCACCACCAAAATTTTCAAAAACAGTTGTTGACTACTAAAGAGTCATCAGTGGACAGGCCCTTTTAGGAGCAGTAAGCACAGTAGTGTGATTCTATCTGGGGAAACATCTAAGTTGTACAGCTGTATCCTCCTCAAATCTGGTGAAGAATGCTATTTTTCTAGGCTGAGCTTTTGTTATAAACCTAATATTCTGAAGGCAAGAGTTAACAATCCTGATCTGTCTTTTTTGTTGGCATTTGTTAATTCTGAATGTATTTTTAACAGAGTGATTTTTTTGACTTACTAGTGTAATTTGCATTTTAAAAATAAATGGAAAAACAAAGATGTTTCTGAGCCATCCCTGAAAACTCTGCTGCTCCTCAGGTGTGTGTGGTTACGTCATTGACAGGGAAACTCTGTTAGACTTATGTGGAGAGACTGCTGATGTTCTATGCAGGGCAAGGAGGTATCAGCCATGAAAAAGTACCTGCTAGTTCATGGCACCTCCTAGCTGGTAACACCCACTACATCCTCCTGGCACTGGCCTCCCTCTTGAGGAGACCACCTACAACCTGAGGAACTAGTTTCTTACTTCTAAGATTTATACCTTTAAAGTGCTAGTTAAGATTTGGTTAAATTTATAAGTAGAGAGTTTCAAAGGTATTTATGAGAGAAAGAGAGAGAGAGAGAGAGGAGAGAGAGAGGAGAGAGAGAGAGAATGTACACGTATTCAGGGTGTATAAGCACATCTCTGCACACGTGTGGAGGTCAGAGGTCAGTCTCGGGTATCAGTTCTTAGGAGCTGTCCATCTTGGGTTTTGAGGCAGGGTCTCTTATTGGGGTTCATGGACTAGGCTAGGAGAAGCTGACTGGCCAGTGAATCCCAGGAATCCATCCATCTCTGTCTCACCAGCACTGACAGTATAAGCATATGCCACCATGCCCAGCTTTTTCTGTGGGTGCTAGGGATCAAGTCCAGTCTCCCCCATTTGTATGGTAAACACTTTACAAACTGAAAAATCTCCCCAACCCTTATTTCACTTCTAAATAACTTAAATACTTGTGGCTTGCCCTCTTTGATACCATAAACTACAGCTATTGATATTCACCTCATCAGAAGACAAGTGTATGGAAGCATCTTGGGGTCAGGGAGGCAAGTAGAAAAGACTAAGCCTGGCAGGTGTGATTGGCTCCACTGAAGCCAATGTTCCCTGGTATGAAAGGGCAGACTGCAGCTGGTCCAGGATGCTCCAGGCTCAGCCTGCTGCTGACGAGTACTGCTCCCACTGCACTCAGATATGCACCAGCCGCCACAAGTCAAAATACCAAAATTGGTTGAAAAAGAGGAAGACTTTGCAGCAGCATAGGAAGAAACTGAAGACTGACTTGTGGTTCCTGATTTCAGTCACATGCTAAGAGCTCTGTAAATGATCAAGCAGGTTTTTTACTTTGGTTTCCTCTGTGAAAGTGTGCGAGGTGCTGTTCGCTAAAGTAGGGGTGGAGTGTCTCTCTCCAAATGTTTCTTCTTCACACAGTGAAGCCAAAGGCACACAGTATCTCAACTGCATGAAAAGGGACAAAGTTAACAGGTCAACCATATTTACACACACACATGCCCAAAGGAAAATATTCTTCTGGAAATCTCAATGATAAGTTATGAGTTTTCTAAACAACAAGCAGAACTAGGGATTGTATTTAGTATGCATTTAAAATGTCACCACAAGCACAACACTGAGTAAACTATTTTAATTTAGAAATATACACCATTTTAAATATTTAACACTTAGAACTAACCTCTGAAATCCAAATCCATTCATTAGAGAGGTGATAAACAAAGGCCTAGAGCAGTTAAGAAATTATTTAACATTAACATATATCCTAAAAATGCAAATAATCACCCATTCCACAGGAAATTCTTGTGTGTATTCTGGTCAGAATACAATAAATCAATCCCAAATCCTATCAGCTGACTTTGGATTTGTAAATTCAAATGAATTATAATAAGAAAGCCCCTAAGATAGTGTTAAATCACTAAATGCTTCTGAACTATTATGTAGTTTAGTGTTAAAATACTTTCCATTGTATTTCAACATTAAAACGTTAAGTTTCAACATTAAAATACATTCCATTGTATTACAATTATTTGAAAAAACAATAATCCATACCCATATGTAAGCATGGATATATGCTATGTTCTTGTGTATTACTCTATCAACTATGTTCAATTTTATAGTTAGATTTCTTGCTTTTGCTTTGCTTTTATAGTACACTTATGAATAACTAATATTGGAGAGATTACGATTACTTAAGTTGTCCCATCTTGAGTAGTTCCTAAATTCATCAAAGAAATCTTCAAACATTTGTTTGTCTTTGGTAAATTTCAGAGCTCAAGGCTTATACTCAGAAAGCTTTGATGTCAAGATTTATACACTATAAAAAATAGAATTTCAATCATTTTCATCCCAAGTGAATCTTTGCTTAGGATCTCTGTCTGACTCTCTTTTCATTTTATTATATATGCCTTCTTCCTACTTCCAAGAAAGAAAAGAAAAAAATCTATAATTGCTATATGATGTCCAATTTAAACTATGTTAGTATATTAAAACAATCATATTTTAGGGTTTTGAAATTTGTGTATTCTGTGACTTTTAATTCAAAAAGAAATTGAACTAGGTAATAATTTTAAGGATCATATTTGTCACTGAAATCTTCTAAAATTTGATGAGTTATGACTGCAAGTCATAACAAAAATGGAGGCAATTTCCTCCTAAAACAGGTAAATGCAGGTATTTTTGGATCCTATAGAATTATAATGAAATTTTTTTAACCCTTAAAGGTTAGAAGTAATGAGCTTCAGATTTGGATAAGCAATGAAAGGTGATATTTATACGATAAATTCCGAGATGAAAGATATCCTTTTGCAACCATATGTTGATTATCTTGTTCAGTCTAAATCATTATTTAAAATTAATGTAATCCTTTTCCATAACGAGAGCTTCTTCATAATGCAGCACCTTAATATTAAAACAAGTATATTTGTTGGCTGTTCATTCAGTTCTCACATGAATTTAAGCTGTAACAGTAACAGAATAAAACAACTCCCCAAAAAGACTGCAAATTGATGCTGTCACTTCAAGCATGATGGATTGATTCAATTAATCAGTAAGTCTTTCCTAAGAGTCCTTCAGGGAGTTATTTACCGGAGGCATACCCTGTTTATTCCCTTCCAGACACCTGTCATTTTTCTTCATTAGTCTTCTAGTTGTACTCACTATATCTTTGGGGGTATACTGATCACCATGTGACAGAGGTTTTGCACACAGCTGTCCAGATATAAATCTTCCAAGCTTCAAACTGGCGCCCACCAAAACACCTGAGCCTCTTGTCATTGTTACGTCAGTTTGATCAAATTGCTCTCAGGATAAAGTCCTGAACAAATAAATGGACACTGACTTGCAGATGGTTAATCCATGGGAAATGAACCAGTTGAGGAAAGGATATGAAAATCTTTCATTCATAAAGATAGCTGTAATGACTATATGTGCCACACCTGTGGAACTGTCCTCTCTATGGACGATTGCCTCCACACCTCCAAAATCAGAGAGAGAGCAAGACAGACAGACAGACAGAGAGACAGAGACAGAGAGACAGAGAGAGAAGACTGTTACTGTGTTGTTTTGGATATTGGCAGAAAAATAAATATTCTTAAATATTAAATATTTTTACTTCTAATGAGTCAAACCATTTGTCAGTTTAATTTGTAAAAAGTTGAGCTAGGGATATAGCTCCATTGTTAGAGTTCTTATATAGCATAGAAGGGTTTGATCCACAGCACTACATAAAACTGGATGTAGGGGTACATAGTTATAATCCCAGCACTCAGGTAGGGAAGGCAGGTGGATCAGTAATTGAAGGTCATCCTTGGCTATATAGTGAGTTTGAGGCCAGCCTGGGCTACATGAGACCCTATGTCAAAAAAAAAAAAGATTTAAAACATGTTAAGGCACTGGAGAGATGATTCAGCACTGACTGCTCTTGCAGAGGACCTGGGTTCAATTCCCAGCACCCACACGGAGGGTGACAACTGTCCTTAACTACAGTTCCAAGGGAATTCAATGCTTTCTTCTGGTTTCCACGAGTACTGCAGGACACGGGTACACTTGCACACATGCAAACAATGCACTTATATGCATAAAATAAAAATAATAAATAAAACATTTAAAATCATATTAATTCTACCGCACAGAAACCTGTTGGAATACTTAGTATAAATAAGAATAAATGTAATAAGCATTAGCAAGATTGGTCAGAAAAGAAGCCTGTACCTGTTGGTGGCAATCTAAATTAATACAGGCATTGAAGAAATGTCTTAATTTAAGATGGAATAATCCCATTTCTGGGCATATGCACAATGGAAATGAAGTCAGTAAGGAAACAGATACCTGTACCACCATATTCACTGCAACATCAATCACAATATATAAGCTACAGAACCAACCTAAGTGGTCATCAGTAGGTAAATGCACAAAGAAAATATGGTACATATGCACAATGGAACAATATTCAACCTTTAAAAAGAAGAAAGTCCTGTCATTTATAGTAAAATAAATGAATCTGGAATACATTATGTCAAGTCAAATTAACCAGACACAAAAAGACAAATACTGCATAACCTTATTCATATGAGCAGTGTGAAAAAGCATAATTCACAGAAGCAGAGAATAGAATAGTGATTAGC